CGGAGGGACATGGTAACAGTCTGAAAACTTTTATATTCGTTATAGTGCCTAACATGATTTTGTTAGGTAGACGAATCCGGCTTTAAAATGATCAGATTGGCTTTTATGTACAAAAAAAGGCATATCGGTCATATTTTGACTTCATTAACTCACTGCTTTTATTGGACTGATAATAGCTGAATGAGACAAAAAAAAATGCTATTATCTTTGTTACCTTGCATAGACGTGCGTAAAATGTATTTCAATGTTTTTCTTTAAATTAATATGTTTACAAAGAATGAAAACGCATGATCTGTAAAGTTTCTCAAATTTTCAAACAAAGAGCTAATGCTTATTAATGGTACTTGTATTTTATATTTGTAAATTGTCTGTTTTATATTGTGTATATACTCGGTATACTCTGTATGTACTGTATATTTATGTATTGCAAGTAGTGAGACTATAATAAAATATTGAATCTGAATCTGAATCTGCTTGATAGGACCTTAGAGGTCAAACCCTGAACAGTTTGGTCAAGTATGGACAAAACATTCAAGCTTGATACAGCTCTGAATTTGGATTGTGATAAAATATTTGACACAGCATAGGTTTTGACACAGAATGAATGTGGTCTAAGAACTTGAAAATAAGAAATTGGATAAGTACCTATTATGGTCCAATTTCCAAAATCTAAATACATTGTTAGATTCAGCATATCAAAGAACCCCAAGAATTCAATTATGGATGAAATCAAACAAATTTTAATTTTGGACATGTAGAACAATTTCAAAAGGGGCCCCAACATTAAAAATCTAAATACACGGTTAGATTTGGCATATCAAAGAACCCAGATGATTCATTTTTTGACGAAATCAAACAAAGTTTAATTTAAACCCTTTGGACCTCAATGTGGACCAATTTCAAAACAGGGTCAAAATCCAAAATCTAAATACATGGTTAGATTCAGCATATTAAAGAGCCCCAAGAATTCAAGACTTTGAATTTAACCCCATTGAAATTGGTCAAGAAATAAGCAATTTATACAAACTATTAGAAAGTAATGTTTTTTTACCCCAATTTTTCCTTAACGGTTAGTGCCATAACCCCTAAAATCAATCCCAACATTTCTTTTTTTGGGATGGAACCTTGTGGTACAATTTCATAGAGATCCATAGACTTATACTCAGGGTATTGTCCCAAAACCAGAAAATCCTAGTTGTTTAGGACCCCTTTATGACCTATGCTATGTCAAATATTTTGAAATTTACTGTTCATTATTAGATATTTTGAAAAATAATTCAGGGTAAGTTTTATAGATTTTTTAAAGACATTGTATTAATGATGAATTATATTTAGGAAATTGTTTTTTTCATTTTTTAAGAATTTCGTGGTAGGTTTGTTTGTTATTCTGTATTAATTAATTTTTAGAAGGCTATGTATATATTTTGTTTTGGTGGAGCAAACCCCTTTAAAAACTAAGCTAATATTGTGAATTAATAAATAAATAAATTAAATTTTTGGTGTACTTGAATATGCTGAATCTAACCGTGTATTTAGATTTTGGATATTGGACCATAATAGGTAATTGTCAAATTTCAAATTTTTCAGTTCTTTTACCACATTTTTTTGTGTTAGAAACCTATGCTGTGTCAAATATTTAATCACAATCCAAATTCAGAGCTGTATCAAGCTTAAATGTAATGTCCATACTTGCCCCCAACTGTTGAGGGTCCAACCTTGCAGTTGTATGAAGATGCGATCAGCGGAGCATTTTATTTAGTCTGGGAGAACAAGATTTATTTATTGGTTGTTATTGGCTTTGATCTAGCATTCAGTATTGAGTATTTTGTGTCTTGTCATTATCTGGTATGTTAGTTGTTTTTTTTTGTTTCATGCCAATCTCAATCTGATGATAGAGTCAAGCCGTTTCAAACTAATTTTTACGGTTTGTTCTTATGTTGTGCTGTTACACCATTTTCCCAGGTTTGGGGGAAGTGTTGAGCGCTCATAAACATGTTAAACCCCTCCACATTCTGTACGTGCCTGTTCCAAGTCAGTAGCCTTTAATACAGTGGTTGTCTTTGGTTGATGTCGGTTTTATTTGTTTTCATTGATTGTTTTGTCATAAAACACCCTTTTTTTTCTTTTTGTGATGTCTGGACCTTTTATAACTGATTAAGGACCGTGGTAGACCCTCATGAGTAGCCAGGTCGTTAAACACCTACATTGTAGTAGTGGTATAGCTGATTATATGGTATGGATTTTGCTCATTGTTGAATGCTGTACAGTTATCTATAGTTGCTTAAATCCGCTTCAGATGAGCTGGTCATAATTATAAATTAACTATTTAAAAAACCTTTTTATTTTCCAAATGCTAAAGATTTGCTATCCCTGGAATAGTTTACATTAGCTGAATTGTTTTTGAGACCTTCATATGCTACAACTTCATACTTTATTTGGCCTAACTCCTTAACAGTTAGGACAATAACCCCTAAAATCAACCAACCTTCCTTTTGTGGTACGGAACATTGTGGTACAATTTCATAGAGATCCATACAATTATACTTAAGTTATTGTCTGGAAACCAAATGTCTTCAGACAACGACAGGACAATGTCATAACATTATACAACTGATGTATAAATATTCGTAAGGGTTCCGCGGAACCCAGTGTCTCGCCTACTTATGCTGTTAATCGCAGGCTCAACAAAAATGAGGAAAAAAATTAATAAAAATATTCCTCTCTATACTATCTTTTGATTGTAAGTAGCTTCTGTCTAAGTTTGGTAAAAATCCAGGATAGTTTATGAATTTAATAAATGTTTTAAAAACTTAAACTGCAGACTGTATGTAATGTTAACTGTAAGAAAAACTAAGTCCATTTATAAGTAAAATACGGAAAAAATGGAACAAAATTTTAACAAAATTTCCTTCTAGATACTAGCTTTTAATCATAAACAAGCTTCTGTCCAAGTTTTGTACAAATCCAAGATAGTTTAAGAAAGTTGTTAAAATTTTAAAAACTTTAACCACAGAGTGAATGTAATGTTAACTGGCAGAAAAAACTAAGTCCATTTATAAGTAAAATACAGAAAAAATGGAATTTTTTTTTTACAAAATTTACTTTTGGATACTATCTTATGATCATAAACAAGCTTCTGTCCAAGTTTGGTAGAAATCCAGGATAGTTTAAGAAAGTTATTAAAATTTCAAAAACTTTAACCACAGAGTGAATATTTGTGGACGACGACGACGGAATGTAGGATCGCTATGTCTTGCTTTTTCGACAAAAATCAATCAGTACACATACAACAGATGAAGTTAAAGATATTATAAAATAGTCTGAGAAAGGTATGCCTTTGAGCTCATTATCATTAGACTTTGTGACAGCTAAATTGGATATGTTGTTTTAATACACACACTTAAATAAACCCAAAAGCAAAAGAAAATAAACTGTTATCACAGAGATATGTCTCGCATTTTTGTAATTTTGATTATGCAAATGTTGAAATTAAAATGGCAATACTTAACAAGTAAGGCTAATATTCAAAGTCAATGAACCATGACTGAGGTACATGGCTAAACCATCTCCATGTAAATGAGATACGCCAATGCTAATACAACTGCATACCAAATATCATTGACTTAATACAAGTTGTTCCCTTTAAACAAACCTAAACACAAACATTAACTTGTAAACTATGTAAAAGTTTCAAAGTCAATGAACCATGAAGAGGGGTGGAGCTACATAATCTCCATGGAAACAATACTAACAAATGCCAATAAATTTGCATACCAAATATCATTGACTTAACATTAGCAGTTCATCTTAAACTGATCTTATCACAAACTAATACATGTAAACTAAGCAAAAGTTTCAAAGTCAATAGGCCATGACTGAGGGGATGGGGCCAAATATTCTCCATTGAAATGAGATGTGCTAATGCTTATACAACTGAATACCAATTAACATTGGCCTACCACTAATGGTTCCCCTTGAACTGACCTAATCACAAATTAATACATGTTAACTAAGCAAAATTTTCAAAGTCAATAGACCATGACTAAGGGGGCTGAGCCAAATAATCTCCATGGAAATGAGATATGCCAATGGTTATACAAATGCATACCAAATATTATTGACCTACCACTAATGGTTCCTCATAAACTGACCTAATCACAAACTAATACATGTAAAATAAGCAAAAGTTTCAAAGTCAATAGACCATGACTGAGGGGGCAGGGCCAAATAATCTACATGGAAATTAGATGTGCCAATGCTAATACAACTGTATACCAAATACCATTGACCTACCACTAATGGTTCCTCATAAACTGACCTAATCACAGTAAAGAGGCATAACTCTAGAACGGTAAACGTTACGCCACCAAAATTCAAACTTGATCTGTGTTTTGTGGTAATAAGCATTGTGTATAAGTTTCATAACATTTGGTTGAGGCAAACTCAAGATTGAGAACGAAAACCAAAAATTTAGCATTTTTTTCATTTGTAAAGGGGCATAACTCTAGAACGGCAAAAACGACGCCACCAAAATTCAAACTTGATCTGTGTTTTGTGGTAATAAGCATTGTGTATAAATTTCATAACATTTGGTTGAGGCAAACTAAAGTTAGAGAACGGAAACCAATTTTGGAACGTACGTACGTACAGACGGACAAGGGTAAAACTTAATGCCCCCTCTGCTACCGCGGGGGCATAAAATTGCTTTTATTGCTGTTTTTCATCTTAAAGTGAATGAGAAAACTTCAATATTGAGCAAAAGCTTGCAATTTATTGCAATTTCAAAACGGTCAATAGCAGCAATTGGAGTGGGGGGCTTCAAATGACAACCATGCAATCACCTGTACATATACATACATTGAAGACTTTCACAATTGTGTGGTAATAACTATAGAAAGCAATGGAATCTAACAAACAGTATGTTAGTTTGCTTGTCGGTCTCATTGTACAATACAGGAACAGAACCAACAAGTAGACAATCTCAGGGCAAATCAAGATAGTTAATTTTTCACTATTTTATTGCATATTTTGACATGTACAATATTTTTTGGCATGTCCAACAATAATCTATGACACTTAATATATCATCAACATGTAACAATAGTTTTACACAGCTTTAATACAAATCGGTATGTCTGTAGCATACAGATGTAGTAATTATACAGAGGCAACGAATCAGAATCTTTGTATATTAACAAAAAGATAACTAAAATTCAATATTGGGAGTAAACTTAAAATTCTACAAGTTAGAGGCTTGAACTATAGAGACTGTTTAAAAGAAATTTTCCTAAATAAAAAATGTTATCTACGAGTACAAATATCATCAATACAGAGTACAGTTATGATGTAGAAGTTGTCAAGGGAAGTAATAATAATATTATCTCCCTTTAAAATACAAAGCATATTATTCTCATAGTTTAAACTTTATCTATTGTTCAATTCCACTTGACTTTTCAAACAATCTGAGCATCATGTATACATATTGTAAGTATGAAAACATTATTATCTGTATCTCTAAAATTATTTTATACAGCTAAAATCAAAATTTGAATTTGTAAATATAAATTCTTAAAGGCTTGCTATATATATAAAAACTAATAATTTGTGAATGAATTTATTAGTTTTACAGATTAAAACACTGCTGAGTATAATTTCAATTTTTATGATTTCAAACAAACACAGTTAAAACATTTTGCACAATTAAAATATTTTATAATTATTACAAAATAAATGTCTGCATCATATTTAAATTAATTTTGTCGGGGTTTAATTTAATGTAAATAAATCATATAAGGAGACAGAAATTCCTAATAATAATATTAGAACCTGGTTCTTGCCTGCTTGTGTTGATTTTTGTCCTTTTTCAAAACTATTTCAGTATGTATGTGTGAAATAAACAATTAACACAAAGATCAAAAGATTTCCAAATGCCAATTGGTCAACTGGTGCAAAATACAGGTGAGAACCAGTAATTACACAGACTTAAAATTGGTGTATTATTACTATGGTCAAGTTGAACTTGATAGTAATATTGAAATATTAAACATTAGGAAAATGATGATCAAAGACAACAACTTGTGTTATTAGAACTATTCACATGGCACTTAATTTTTTTCGATTGAATAAATTCAATATAAATGCTTAGAAAATTTTATTTCTTATCTATTTTTTTAAATGAATGTGATAAAAAAAAAACATGTGTTCATGAAAATCAAACACCAGTTTGAATTATGAAGCAGTCTACATTCACGTAAGTCAAAATACCATCAAGTGTTTGTAAACAAAACAATAAAATATAAAGCATTTTATTGTTTTAAAAAAATTAATAAATGCTGCAAAAACTACCTTCAAATCTATTCTAATCATTCTTCAAACAAAAAGTTGTTGAAATATAAATATCTTATTGCTTTATATATTTGACTTTGCATACTTTTGACATAAAATGTATAGGTATTAAGAAGCTTCATTTCATTACTACATTTCTTACATACTTAATTTCATAACTACATTTCTGAACAAATTCATTTCATTTTACATGTATTAATAGATCAGACAATCTCTATTCAAAACAGTGCCAATAACTAACCTAACAAGTAATAACCCCCATACAATTAAGCATTTGTTTATAATCACATTTAAAATTAACAAGTACCCTGTATATTAGAAAGACAAAAAAAAGCTATGAGTGGATTATCTCCCCTTTTGAGTGATCTTCTGACTAGAAGACACTAAATTTCTAATGATGCTTAAATAAAACAGTTTTTAATTCATGAATAAAGGAAGTGTGATATATATCCCTCTGCACATTAGTAAGCAAATAAATTAAGCCATCTTCTTTTTAGAAAACCAAAAGGGAGATAATTCAAACTAATCCCACTTGTCTTTGTATGACAGGAAAAAAGAAACAAGAATTGCAAATCTCATTAATAAATCATAAAATTTAAAATGAAAATTGATAATGCAGATATTAGTTACCATTAAAATGAAATTAAAATGCATTCAAATTATAACACTTTTCTAAAACTAAATAATTGCCATAAAATTATTATTGCGAGTTTAAAATTCGTCAACAAGTCAAAACAACTCTAAAAATTGCTGTAAAGAGTATTAAAACAACAATAAATTATTGCAAATGTCTCCTAAATGTAATACAACAGTTAAAATAAAAATAATGTATACCGTTAGCACCTACATCTATGACTAATAACTAAAAATATCGTAAGTGTATACTGCTTACAGATAGCTCAATTTGGTTGCTTAAATCAATCATGATTGATTGATTGGTGTTTAACACCACTTTCAGCACTATTATGTTATTTTGTGGAGGTCAGTTTTTATTGGTGGAGGAATCCAGAGTGCTGGGAGAGAATCACTGATCTTCAGCAGTTTAAGTCGATCAAGGTTTCCACCTAATTACATATTATACTCATAGTATATCTAATTTACTTTAAAACATTCTTCATAAAACTATAAACTTCTTCCAACTTACTTTATAAATATGACATTCATTTCATTTGAAATTCGCTCAAATAGTTATTTTTCATTTGAAAGATTAAAGGGTAGGCCTTAATGTATGGACTCATCTTGTAAGCAGTATACACCAATATATGAGAGGAATGTATACAATTTGGAAAGTATAGAGGGTTTATAAACAACACCAATATTTATAGCATAATATGCGTAGGTATTCACAATATATTCCTATTTTGCAAAATAATCAAAATGATTCTAATCATCTCCAGACTATAAAATCATGTTCATGTGTAGCTATCTTCTAACATATCAAAATCAGTTCTCTTGACTTGTTCCTTATTTTCATTTGGTGTTTTTCTTTCTTTTCCATAACTATATTTTACAAAAAAAACCTGAATGAATATAAGGGAAAGTGCAGAGGCCTGATTTGGATTAGACTGAGAAACATCAGAAAGAAATATTCCATCATTTTTTCATTAATATTTTTGAGAAGAAAAAAGTTTTTTCTGCTACTCACACATTTTTTTCAAATGCATATAAATATCAGTGCTGTTTATAATAGAAGCAAAACAACAGTTAATTTCTGTATATAGATTTGATTTACACCATGAAGTTTTTTTTTAAGAATAAAGACAGAATTGCTTAACACCTCATCCCCTTGTGGGAAGATAAGATTCTTTCAGGCATGCATGCTCAGAAAATGCTATGGATAGTTAGTAAGTTCTACGAATCTTTAAATAAAAACCAATGAAAAATGTTATGACATGTTTGTTTGTCAGAGTTAACCATTACTATCATTTCAATAAATGCAAAAAATACTTCAAAAAAATATAATTTAAATTAAATTCAAATATTTTAATTTTGAATTTTAAAAGTACATACAGAAAATAACTGTTGCAATTTTACATACCGAAATAAATATATATCAAGCATTTATTATTTTTTCATGCAGCATTTTGATGGATTTTAAATCCACACGTCTATTTCACATCGTTAGTCAAGATAAAAATTAATTTTTATAAATAACATAATATCTGACAAGTTTTAACAACATATTTTCATAAGCATTTTTTTAATTACCAATTTTCTGGTCAATAAATGAAATATACAAATGATAATGATATAAATTAGTGTTTATAACTGGCAATTTATGTACAATTAAAACTAGAGCACTAGATTTTTACAGTGAACACAAAAATAGCAAAGCACAAGTCTAAGGTTTAGAGACACAGAACGAAAGTTATTTCTTAATGAAAACTAATTTCAAGAAACACGTACCTGTTTCTAGTAGAAATAGGGGAGAGTTGTAACATAAATAAATGGAACTTTGGACATTTTATTACAAAGTGTTATAACTCTTCACAGTAAATTATTATGATTACAACAAAACATACTTCTAGCATGTGTCCCCTAAAAAATAATGATGTAATGATTTGTATTCACTTTTTTAGTTTGAAAGACAAATGGGTAATGTATTGCTTCATCTCCTAACTCTTATACACTCTAAAAAAACCACTGAGGTATTAATTTGTTTAAATGATGCAATGATTGATCTCCCTTATTTCTAAGCATGTGATGTAACACTAAATCTGATTGGATAGAGAATGACTTATGTCTGAACTTACATTAGTAAGACTGTTTTTAAAACTGTGTTACACTGAAATTTTTAATCTGGTAACCACCTAAGGTGGTACCAAACAGCTTGACTCAAATTAATTTGGCTTGTTTAATTTTAATAAAATTTTGACAAAATATTTACTTTGACCCTTTGACAAAAATATAAAAACTTCATAAAACTTGAACCACACACTTTATCGGAAAATTTCATTGGTTAATATAGCAGTTTGACAAACACTAATTTTGATCATTGAGAAGCTTAATATTTCCTTAACAATAGAACGTGATTAAAACGTTCAGCTGATTTTAACAGAGTTATCTCCCTGTAGTGTTATGTACTGCCTCAACTAGTGTAAATTTAATCAGTTGAGTCTGGTTAAAATTTTTAATCCTAGCTTTACAATAATGACAAATTTCATGCAAATTTGAAAATATATAAACGTCAATATTTCAACCATTGTTTAAAGCTCACAACTGCAGAAGTTGCACATTTCTTAGGGTTTAAGGATGTACTTAGGTCAGGTTTAGGAATTTTTGTCAGATGTTCAGACTCCTTGGTTTTTTTCCTACGATACAGGGTAAAATATTTTGCCCCATAACACCCATTTTTCTTTTCTTATAGTATCAATTTTAAATTCTAGATTTTTTTAATTTCACCTAAGTTCATCCTTAAGGTCTATTTTTGTTAGCAGAAGAATCTGTGACATGCACTAACTGTGAATGAGTGTGACATTGCTAGTTAAATCTCCCAACATTATCAAATTGAAAGAGTCGGAGGAGTTCAAAATAATGAAAACAAGATGGCTGATATGATCAGTGAAAATTTGAATCTTTATGTAAAAAGAAAATATACTTTAGATGAATTATTCTTAATTTCTTTCTTTTCAAAAACAAAACTAGTAGTTTTAATAATTTCAATTTACCAATTCCACAAATCTTTAAAAGACAAGACACCTTTGTTATATAAATCATGCAATGCAGACAAAAGTCCTTGTCTAAAACAATAAGCCATGCCAATCTGAGCAGTTTAAATACTAGGGAATGGTTGTCTTCCAGGAATTTGTCACATGACAATAGTGTCACATGACAATAGTAATTTAAAGGGATATTTACAATTATTACTTCTCATTATCAATGATCTTGTCAATACATGCTTTATGAGCAAGCAATTCCATGTTAAGCAATGGAGTACCTTAAAGTTGTGATCTCTACTAAAATTCAATATATATTTAGTAATATTAGAAATATTCTATTTAAAGGGAGGTAACCCAGATAGTTTTGAATGAATATAATTCATTAATAGTCAGTTTGCTTATGTATGTAAAAAAATAATTAACAGATTTTTAACTGAAGAGACTTAACAAACAGATAACAGAGCAGACATACACACACAAAACTGACTGATACATAGTATTTATATTGATACTGGAGAGTTAAAAAATAAAAATCTAGTATAAAGAAGACTGATTCCTTTCACCAAAAAATAACTATCCTGATTTTTCTACTTATGCCATGTACATGAATTTGACAAATAACTATAATAATCTGATAGAATGTTCAACATTTAAAGTAGAACTTAACATACCATGTACATTGTCATTTAGTTCTACCTTGAACACAAGCTGTTGTTGAATTTTATAATTTCTGAAGTTCGTTAGAGTTATTTCCCTTTAGAGCATTTTTCTAGACGACATATATTTTTTTTCCCTCAATTTTCTTCAATACTGAAAATTAATGTTTATATTTTCAATGTATCATATGTAAAGTATGACAATGCTAATATAGTATTTCATTTGTAGAACTAATTTCCTTGCATGTAAAAAGATTTGTACCTTTTCCTCAATAGGGATTTAACAGGGAATACAGGGACAAACATTTACAGAAAGTGTTAAAAGGTAGATAAGTGCTATAGATATGAAGAAAAATATAATTAGATACTTAGTGCATTTGATTTGACAATGTTCTCTGAAAGTTCTACAGTATAAATTGACCAGAAAAAAAGTTTGAAAATCTATTTTTGGTAAGTAAATTATTGATTGCATGATCCATTATTATAAATAATACACAATATTTCATCATTATTGCTAATATTAAATTATTACATGGCAACATTTTGAATATTATGCCAATTTTTTTCGAGACAGTGTTTCTAACTAATAAAATACAAACATTTTCAGACATACCCCTCATCTCCTTATATTTATATACATAAAAATTCATTTATTGCTTTTTGTACTCGATACCTTTTTGTACCATAATAATACAACCTAAACAAAAAGAGACTTCATTTCAGAATCATGATTTAATATGGCATTTGTGTATAAAAATTTGATGAAAGAACGAAATATATTGCTCAGTAAACATCATTTTGCGTAATCTGTTACTGTTCATGTTTTATGATTGAGTGCTAAATATAGCAGGAGAAAGATAAAAAATTGTCATGTAAAGAAACCTCTTAAAACAATGGAATAAACATCAATATGTATTTTTATCTCAAAAAACCACTTTAATCACAAGTTCCAAATTTATTGCATTCTGGGTAATATTTTCAAAAGCATACACCAAAACCATGTGATTGGCTAAAAACTTTCTAAACTATCAAAAATTCAACCAATGAGGTAAAGTTATTTTATTTTGTGGTACAAATAATGAAATTATCAATAATCCTGTAGATTCTAAAATGGTGAACTATTTAAATATAATATTTATGTTATCTGAAAAAAAAAAAAATGATTTATTGCTTTAATCTATTAATTTTTTTTCTTTTATTGCTGTTGCAAAAGACAAAGAAGACGAGAATGCGTAGGAGAGAAAGAAAAAAACACCCATTAAACAAACTATTCGTTAAGCGTTAAAATTCCCTGAACATTTACACCATGTAAATTTCAAATATAATTTTTAAAACTAGCACCTAAGATGCAATACACAACGTGAGTCCTACATAGTCCAATAATATATATATAACAAAACACATAATATTATCACCAACAAATTATGAATGAATCTCTCTTTTGATAATGTCACTCTGGTCATCGGAGTCTAACATAACTTGATCGTAATCCTGCGACAAGCGCATTCGTTTCACTTTAGCACGATGATTCTTAAACCACAACTGAATATTTTTCGGTTCCAATCTTGGAAACTTCTGTCTATATTCAGAACGATTCAGTTCATCTGTATATTTATCTATCATGTACGAAGATGGATGAGTGTCCTCGGCAAACCATTTTTCTAGTATGGGTATTTCTGACATGGGGTCTATAAACACACGAGTGCGTCTCTTGCGATGAGTATTGCTTGATGAGTTTGACCTTGACATCTGTGACGTCTGTTGTTGTTGTTGTTGATTGTACCGTGCAGCTTGCTGCGCCATAAAATGAGTATTCATCGGAAAATAGTGCATAGCTAATGGGTGTGGGAAATGGGGAATGTGCAATGGTTGATGAAGCCCTGTTGATGTTTTTGGCAAATGTGCAAGTCCGTTGCTAAGGAAACCCTGATTCTCCATATTTTTGATTGACAGATTGGCAGCTTCATGACTAGAATCTGACCCAACGTTAGATTTATCATCTTCAAACTCAGAATCATCAACTTCTGAATCAGAGTTCATTTTACTATTGCCATCGTAATTATTTGTTTCTCTTGGACTAGAATCATCAGATTTATTACAACCATTCACTGCAGGACTGCTCTTATTGTTGTTTTCAGTGTCGTCTGCTTCCTGTTTCAGTTGAACGCTCCCTTGTTCTTTATTTAAAGGGGAGGTAACTTCTCTCTTTACTTCCACAGGAGATTTGCTTTGACTAGAAGTACGAGACTGTGATAAATCAAAAGGTTCCCGAGAATCTTCGTTTGATATGTTTTGACCTTTGGCATTTTCTGAAGGGAGACGAGAATCCTCAGTTGTAGGGTAATGGCCATGGATAGGGTAGGGGAGCATATACACTGCATTCTTATTTGGAAGGTAAGGTAAGTTGTGGTCACCAGTAGGACTAGTTCCCTGTCCATCCTCCAAATCAAATGATCCATCTCCATCAAATTGTCTAGAAGCTCTCCTATGGGCGGCTCTTGCATTTTTAAACCAATAAATAATATTGGTCAGGTCTAAAGGTCTTCTGCCTTTTCTAGCATCGAGTGAGTTTAACTCATCTAAGTAATGTATCATCTGTTCTCGTGTTGGGTGCTGATTGTCCTGAAACCATCTCTGTAGTCTAGGAATCTCATGCTCAGGGTCAAAAGAAGTTCTCATTCTTGTCTTACAGTGATAGTGTGGTGAAGAAGTAATGGCCGATGGCATACTAGATGAAACAGATGTAGACTCTGTATGTTGAATGGTCTCTGCCTGTTTTTCTGGAGATGTCTCATGTGTATTTCTACTCTCCTCTGGCTTGACGCTACGAATCTGCTCTGCATACCATTTGTCAAAAGCTTGTCGAAGTTCTGGTGATAAATTAGCGTAAGCATCACCTTTGGCAAATGTGGTAAGAAGAGACTGAAAGTAAGAAATACACCAAATTTAGCAAAATAAAACAATCATGAAAAATCTGTTCTTTAAAATTAAATATTCTGTGCATATTCTAAATATTATATAAAAAGTCAGTAAAAGTCGTATGTTGACCTGTAGGTGTCCTTTTTTCAGTCCTTTGATAACTGTCTCATTGACATAAACAGCTACAAGAACATATATATATGTACTCCTTTTATTCATGAAATTTTTGCTAAATGTATAAACTGGTAAGATCTGGCTTCGTCAGCGCAAAATATAATAAAGATACCAAATTGATGATAAAACACAATAAAATAGGAAGTAATAAATAAAAATTAAAAAAAGACAACACCAAAACACATTTGACAATCACCATATGCATGATCTATATGTAACTATATAAAAGAATTTGTTTATTCATCTATTTTTCAATGACACACATATATAAGTTTCAGTTCAGCTTCAATCAAATGGTGTCAATAATATGCATGAAATATCTGCCTCTGGACATTTAACAAATGCAATTTATATACCTTTTCGTGTTAAAAACTTTTGTACAAATTTATTTCCAAGTTAAACGATTTTTTATTCTCCACAATATTTTTAATAATTTCATCACAGTTCCATTTGATTACTTGTTTTTGTCTGTTTAAAAGTAATTATCTCCCTTACCATGGCAGAGTTGGCATTCATGATCATCATATCTCCCATAAAGACCACCATTGCATTCTAATTGATTTTCTCAAGTATTTATTGTTTAAGTAGATTTAGAAGTACTTACCTTTTCTATAGGACAGCCAGAGTTCATCAGCAAGCCCTGTGATTGGTTCAGCAATAACTGGAGTAACCTCCCCTTGACCTCATCAACAGAACTTATCTTGGCCTTGCTGTAAATGGTAAAGATGAGATGACCAGAATAGATTTCAGTTTCTTCTTTTATCTTATTTTCTGTTGCTATGACAACTATAAGTTTCAGTTCTATACAACTTTAATTTACACATTTAAAATTCTACCTCTTATTACAATGAAAAGTATTTTTCCAGTTGTAAATATCCAAAATTATTAAAACTTTAAAATACAGTGACTGATTTTAAAACCATGGTTAAAACTGCAGCATTACATAATAGCAGTTTGGAGGCTATAAAATCTCAAATTTAACATTTACAGTGTCTCAAATCTTCTAAAACTTAAATCCAACAATATTCTTTAACAATAACAAAAAAATTCTAATTTATAAAAGACAATAATTGAGTATTTGATGCTCAGATTAGTTTTGCTAAATACTTTACTCTAAAAAGTGTTCTGTCAGTAAAATATAGATTTCAAGAGAAATGCTAAAGCCATCTTTGGCTTCCCAAAGTGAACCAATTTTTGTCAGAAAACTTCCAAAAAAGGAACTAATCATTTGTTTAAACCCTACAACAAAGTAACATGGACTATCCACATCTAATTTTTCCTTAGATATTTATAAGTAATCTGTGGTAACTTTGTATAAAGTGGATTCACTATTATTTGTTGTGTACCAATTGTAGTGGATTTGGTTAGTATAAGTTAACCACAAATTTAAATGTTCATCATAGTACAGATTTTCTATAGGTTGAAAGACAGACATTGGCAAACCATGAAATAAAATATTCATGAGAATTCAATTTTTCACCAATCCACGAATAATTGTTATCCATGAAATTAAATGAAATCCACAGTACAGTGCATGATGGGAACATGTTATACATCTTGGGCCTTTTTTCCTTCATAACACTGAATACAGATATATAAAATTGAGAATGGAAATGGGGAAGATGTCAAAGAGACAACAATCCGACCAAAGAGTAGACAACAGTCTAAGGCCACCAATGGGTCTTCAACGCATCGAGAAAATCAAACACCTAGAGGTGGTCTTTAGCTGGCCCCCTTAATAAAATTGTGTACTAGTTCAGTGAAAATAGACGTCACACTAAACTCCAAAACATATAAATGAACCAAAATCCAAAAAAATACAAGACTAACAAAGGCCAGAGGCTCCTGACTTGAGACAGGCACAAAAATTCGGCGGGGTTAAACATGTCATGTGAAAGTTATAGTTTTGTTTGTTCTTTTGTTTTTGTTGCTTTTGGTTTTCAGAGGTGTTGTAAACACTAAAGAGACTTGTGTAAGTGTATTATTTACCTGCAAAGCCTAATTCTCAATTTGGCAACCTGAGTTAGCTCCCCTAGTATATCCTCTACTGTTGACTTTGGGTTGTTGCTGATTGCCTCAAAGGTCAAAGGTCGCCAGTTTTTAATCTGTATAGCTCCTGTAATAAATAATTTTCTATTGAAATATTTTACCAAAACTTGTAGGAATAATACAGAATGATTTATCTATAAAAAAATACCCTACAAAAATTGTTGTCTGATATTTAGTTGGCTCTGTAGATGGCTAGATTTCAATATCAACAGGTTAAGTTCTCACACTTGCTTTTAGTAACTGCCAGATTACGATAACACCATACAGTATAAATTTAAGTGTTCTTTTCCATTGAGCTATTTTTTTCTTTTAAACTGTTTTTATAAAATTGAAAGCTTTTTTTTTATGATTTTATTAATTTCTCTCATAATCTTATGTCTAAATTTTAGAAGACATTCCAACTAGAACTAACTAGGATTCAGCATTACATGTAAGTCATCCAATAAAAAAGTATGTTTTTTTTCTCCTTTCTTCTTTTACTAAAACAGTAAAGATCATTTCTTCAGTAAATTTTCACAACATAATATAACAAAGACACCTCTTTTAGTACTCTGCCCCCAATAACATGTAAAACCATACCTTTAGCGTTCATTGATTCTGTTGAATTGTAACCCAGCTTGACCAGTGCTGCCCTCACTAATTCTGAGAACAGTGTTGTACATGGTAGAATCGCGTAGCTGTCAAGTTCTACTGTGTAGTGTGAACTTCCGTCATCATCAAAGGATACTGGTCCGCTGGTCTGTTCTACCACACAGTGAATTGGTAGGGACTTGGCACCTGAAAGTATAAATACATCATTTGAAAATAAAATCAATTGGGTGTCTATATAAACATCTATGGGTCTGAATGGGGAGTCCTTAATTTCTGTATTCTTTATCTTTAAAAATAAATCATATTCTGTAAAATTCTCACGAAAATGTTTTTACTTCTAAAATTTTCTGTAATTAGACGAATTCTTTATTCTGAACATCGTTGATTTTTTTAACCAGTATTGTAATAACTTTTATTTTCCACAGTAATTAGTTATTTTCCACAGTAATTTGTTATTTTCCACAGTAATTTTTTATTTTCCACAGTAATTTTTTATTTTCCACAGTAATTTGTTATTTTCCACAGTAATTTTTTATTTTCCACAGTAATTTGTTATTTTCCACAGTAATTTGTTATGCTTTTGCACCCCATTATTCGTTATTCTTTATATTTTTTCCTCATTTGTCTTTATCAATTATTTATTTCAAATTTTTCATTTATTCTGTAAACCACATCCAGACCCTCCTAAATCAGCAACACCCAAAACCAAAAAAAAAAGATGTGAAGGATGTATCAATGCTGGAGGAGCTTTAAGATCAAAAGGTACCTTAAAAATGGATAAAACCAACTAGAGGCTCTCAAGAGCCTGTGTCGCTCACCTGATTCTACTTTGATTTTTGAAATCATGTAAAAATAGATTAAAATCATAACATTGTTTATGATACCCTAATAATGAGTGAGGCCAAATTTGGTTTAATATTGGTCCTGTAATATAATAAAATAAATGTAGATAGTGTCCACATGTGGACACAGATGATGCCCCCACTTGCATATCATATAAATATAAAGGGACATAACTGAAGAACAGTAAAAGTGACGCTACCCAAATTTGAACTTGATCTGAGTTTTGTGTGTAAGTCTCATAACATTTGGTTGAGGCTAACTTAAGTAGAGAACAGAAACTAAAAATTCAGCATTTTTTCTATTTATAAAGGGGCATAACTCAATAATGGTTAAAGTGTCACTACCCAAATTCAACTTGATCTGTGTTTTATCAGTGGAAGTCAAAATTAAACATTGCATTGTATAAAGCATTGATTGTAGTTGATTCAACTATAATCATGGACAAAGGAAGATAACTCCAATTTTAAAAATAACTTGATATTTAGAAGAAAATAAAAATTTTGCAATTTTTTCCATTTATAAAGGGGCATAACTCTAGAACGGTTAAAGTGATGCCACCAAAATTCAAACTTGATCTGTGTTTTGTGGTAATAAGCATTGTGTATAAGTTTCATAACATTTGGTTGAGGCAAACTTAAGTAAGAGAACGGAAACTAAAAATTTTGCAATTTTTCCATTTACAAAGGGGCATAACTGTAGAATGGTTAAAGTGACGCCACCAAAATTCAGACTTGATCTGTGTTTTGTGGTAATAAGCATTGTTTTTAAGCTTCATAACATTTGGTTGAGGGAAACTCAAGTTAGACAACGGAAACCAATTTTGGGACGTATGGACGGACGCACGTACGTACAGACGGACAAGGGTAAAACTTAATGCCCCCACTGCTACGGCGGGGGCATAAAAATCCTGGTGGCCATCTTTAACAAGTAAATCGGCAACAAAGTAGCAACACTTCATCAGCACCTCATAAGAAACATTTATGCCATGTTTGGTTTCATTCCATTCAGTGCACCTCTAGAAGAAGCATTTGTATGTATTTCCCATAGGGTCTTATGTTAAAGGAAGTCCTCCCGCTGGCGTCCATCGTGGATGAAAGATCAGCTTCAAAGTAACAACACTTAGTCAGCACCTCATAAGGAACATTCATGCCATGTTTGGGTTCAATATATTCAGTACGTGGCTCTCTAAAAGAAGACATTTGTATGTATTGTCCATAGGGTCCTTTGTTAAACATTGTCCCCAACTGGCGGCCATCTTGGATGATGGATTGGCTTCAAAGTAACAACACTTGGTCAGCACTTCAAAAGAAACATTCATGCCATGTTTGGTTTCATTCCATTCAGTGGTTCTCTAAAAGAAGACATTTATATGTATTTCCCTTAGGGTCCTATGTTAAACTAAGTCCCCCGCTGGCGGCCATCTTGGATGATGGATCGGCTTCAAAGTAACTACACTTGGTCAGCACCTCATAAGGAACATTCATGTCATGTTTGGTTTCATTCCATTTAGTGGTTCTCTAAAAGAAGACATTTGTAAATATTTCCCATAGGGTCCTATGTTAAACTAAGTCCTCCACTGGCGGCCATCTTGGATGATGGATCGGCTTCAAAGTAACAACACTTGGTCAGCACCTCATAAGGAACATTCATGCAATGTTTGGTTTCATTCCATTCAGTGGTTCTCTAAAAGAAGACATTTGTATGTATTTCCCATAGGGTCCTATGTTAAACTAAGTCCCCCGCTGGCGGCCATCTTGGATGATGGATCGGCTTCAAAGTAACAACACTTGGTCAGCACCTCATAAGGAACATTCATGCCATGTTTGGTTTCATTCCATTCAGTGCACCTCTAGAAGAAGCATTTGTATGTATTTCCCGTAGGGTCTTATGTTAAAGGAAGTCCTCCCGCTGGCGTCCATCGTGGATGAAAGATCAGCTTCAAAGTAACAACACTTAGTCAGCACCTCATAAGGAACATTCATGCCATGTTTGGGTTCAATATATTCAGTACGTGGCTCTCTAAAAGAAGACATTTGTATGTATTGTCCATAGGGTCCTTTGTTAAACATTGTCCCCAACTGGTGGCCATCTTGGATGATGGATTGGCTTCAAAGTAACAACACTTGGTCAGCACTTCAAAAGAAACATTCATGCCATGTTTGGTTTCATTCCATTCAGTGGTTCTCTAAAAGAAGACATTTATATGTATTTCCCTTAGGGTCCTATGTTGAACTAAGTCCCCCGCTGGCGGCCATCTTGGATGATGGATCGGCTTCAAAGTAACAACACTTGGTCAGCACCTCATAAGGAACATTCATGCCATGTTTGGTTTCATTCCATTCAGTGGTTCTCTAAAAGAAGACATTTGTATGTATTTCCCATAGGGTCCTATGTTAAACTAAGTCCCCCGCTGGCGGCCATCTTGGATGATGGATCGGCTTCAAAGTAACAACACTAGGTCAGCACCTCATAAGGAACATTCATGCCATGTTTGGTTTCATTCCATTCAGTGGTTCTCTAGAAGAAGTTCAAAATGTAAAAAGTTAACGACGACGGACGACGACGACGGATGACGGACGCCAAGTGATGAGAAAAGCTCACTTGGCCCTTCGGGCCAGGTGAGCTAATAAAGGTCAATTTGCCATGAAAGAGTTGGAAGATAAGTTTATTAATATTTTCAAAATTTATCAATGGAATATTAAGTTGGTACATAACACTACAGGGAGATAACTCTGTAAAAATCAGCTGAATGTTTTAATCACGTTCTATTGTTAAGGAAATATTAAGCTTCTCAATGATCAAAATCAACGTTAGTCAAACTGCTATATATCCAATGAAATTTTTCCGAAAAAGTGTGTGGTTCAGGTTTTTTGAAATTTTTATATTTTTGTCAAAGGGTCAAAGTAAATATTTTGTCAAAATTTTATGAAAATCAACTGAGCCAAATTAATTTTAGTCAAGGAGTTTGGTACCACCTTAAGTTATATATCTTAATTTTGTCAGAGGAGGGGCACTGACTTCTTGGATGATGATGCCCCCAGGGACTAACAGTCAACCAGTAGTGGCATTGAGCAGTGCCCTAAATTAAAATTAACACTTTACAAATTTGGTCAAGGCATGTCTTGGTCTTTACATTTTTGTACATAGATGTATATCTTGAAACCTTTACATGAAGGTTTAGTTCAAATGACATTATAAAATGATGATCTTTAATCATATTGTTCCATAAATAACCTAGATTTGACCAAATTTTGGTTAACACATTTGGAATACATGTAGTTTCTGAGTTCAAAATTCTAAAATCCTAATATCAACATTTGACATATCTTAAATTTGTCATTCATAAATTTTTCAAAAAATTAACAGCCATTTCTAAAGTTGAAATATTCGTTAGCAAGTTCACACTTTAAAAATGACAACTAAAAAGGGATTTAATAAATCACATTTGCGATGCATTCAACTTATAATATTCATAAATAGCATTGAAATATATATATATGGCTAATTTTGAAAGGCAGCATATATAAATTGTGGTGATAGCTCTGTAAAACCATGGGTAATCAGATGTGGTCACATGTTTAGACGTATGTTTATATACTGAGAAAAAGTTTATTTTTGATTTCATATTTCAAAAATAATAAACTAACAGACAAATTTCTACAAATAACAATAAATAAATAATTGTTACAAAGGTGCCATATTTTCTCAAAAAAATCTTTTTGTTTTATTTAGATTAGTAATTTTGGAAATTTTTAATTTCAAGTTTTTTCATTAAGATATGTTGGTTAACCATTTTAACATATTTGAAATTTACCTGCTAAGGCTATTATTTGGTATAAAGTTTTAGAAAGGTGCTTTGTTTTTTTTATAGAAAAGTTCTATGCTGTATTTAAACTACTTTAGAACTATAAAACAAATTAAAATATTTAAATCAATTTGAATGACAAATTACAAAATTTGCCTAGTTGGAAGCCATGGTTGCCCCAGATGATGTAAGATATTTTAACACTTTACAGTATTACATTTGTTTCTACTTCTGCTGTGAGGTTATCCGCATGATCATCAAATCAACACCAGACAAATTCCATAACATAATATTTAGTATCAATCTCAAGTGCTTATTTGTCATAAAATGGAGAAAGCCTTAGATGAACACTTCATGGTGAATGTTAAATCCACCCAATCCTTGAGAGCAGACATAGAAACTCGAATGAACACTTCACGGTGCAAAAAGTACATTTTTAAGAACAACTGGAATAGAAAGCTCTTCAAAGGGATTTTCTTATGACTTAAGAATCTTGAAATTAGAAATAGCATATTAAATGGAATAAATTTCATCATCA